ATATCAATTATTTACCCCAGAAACAGAGTGATCGTGAATTACCCCGGGTCACCCTATGTCTCATTTTGTTTATATTGAGCATGTAGAATTATTATCTGTTGTCAAAATTAAATAAGTCTCATAGAAAATGTAAGAATTTTATATTTCCACTAACTTATATTATCCAGGGATAAAAAAATATTTTAATACACAAATCATTTGTATTTTTTCTTCCAATTTTGTCCAAAAGTTATTTATTTTTCTAAAAATACTTTATTATTTTTTTGCCACGTGTTAGGCAATATTCCTATTGTAAATTAATATTTTTTATTGCATAGATTTGTAATTATATGATGTTAAATATTTGTCATTGATTATTGTGCTTGTAATAAATATGAAATATATGCTTATTATAGAAGTTGATTAGATTTTTTAGTTAATGACTTTTAAAATGTCTCTCTTTTTATTAATGTGTAACCTTACAAAATTAAACATTTTAATTCATATTTTATTATATTTTTTGACTTGACACTGCTAGGAAAAAAAGCAAATAGTCACTAGATTATATTTATGGTAATATCAAGATGAATTTTGTTGATGAGATTTAGTTAATCTGATTTTTTTTAATCACTTTAAAAGCTAGTTAATTCTTTTAAACATTAGTACAAGCCAAACCTAATGTCACAAACTTTGATAACAGAGAATTTTTTGATAGCATAAAATAGTGTTCCCCAACCTTTTTATCACTGCGGACCTGTCAACGCTTGATAATTTTACATCTTCACAATGCCGTAATATATGTAGTTTACCATTAAGCTGTAGCTAACTACTTTGCTGTGGTGGCTAAGAGCAAACATACAACCGCCAAAGGGTTAAAATATATCAGAATTATTGACTCTCTTTACCATCTTCATGATTTTAAATTAAATTAGTCAAATTTTCTAAAACACAAATCCTCTTAAATATTTTACTTTATAATGAATACTGTGTGACCCTTCCTGATATATTCTTCCGATTATTCCTGATATAAGCCCATATTCTTGACAATATTGTATAATAAAATTGTTTTTGTAGTAACAATTTTTTAAATACTTTCTAGTTCTTTTATTTGTATAAATAATTTTTAATTTTTTTTTTTTTTTAAAATATTAATATGTTAGTAATATAAAGAAACACAACTAACAACTAAATTTGCATTTATTTAACAAAATACATATCAACATGTGAGAATACAAACATATGTTACAAAACTTTGATTAACCTAAAAAGCAATGATAAATTTCGGATAAATTTTAATAAAAAAATTTACAATCTATTTCGTTTAAACATTTACACCTTATGAACACTGGGGTTGTGCAATTATAAACTTTTCAAATATATAAAACTATAATTATAAACTATACAATCTAAAGAAAAAACATAATTGAATATGTTAATCAAATTTAATCAGTTTTCCAGATTTTGTTAAAAAGATCCATAAATGAGTCGTAGATCATGAATGTAATGGCAACATCAAGACAAACTCTTCCCAATCTCGGAACTGTGCCTTTATAGAATCTGAAAGGAAAAAAAAAATTGAGAATATAAGAAAATTGTATTCAGTTTAATTTTTCTTATTAAACAAGAAATGCAGTAAAAAATCAATATACAAAATTAGGTATTATAAAAATTTTATATATAAATATAAAAAAAAATGAAATACAAAGAATGTACAAAAAGTATCCAACCACAAATTATATATATATATAATCAAATATATATACAAATACAATTAGTTTGGATAATTATTCAGAAATATTTCATTTATCATAAAGGATGTGTCCTGATGAAGACCTTTACATTTTCCCATTAAAAGTTTTTCTATTTTATTTTATTATTCTTTCAGTTTATATATCAATATATATAATCATATATATATATAAAGCTTGGAGTGCAAGATGTAATAACTATTGGTAAATATCATTTAGTACCAGACTCAATATTTTTCATTACTATAGCACCAATTATTTGACAACACAGTATTTAAGAGTAAACGTATAAGTAAAAGTGATTTTGTTTGACGAACAATGAAAGTGCATAAAATTGCTTAAAGCTTGAGGATTCTCAAATGGAAACAATCTGCAAAATCAAATTGTTGCTTTAATCACAAAGGTACTATCTAGCATTTGGAAAATTAAATCCTAATGCACTCAAAAGTCTAATTTCTGAAACTTGTGAGTTAGAATTACTTATTCCCTTTCCACTTACCTGATAAGAATTGCAAACCATTATTATAACTATGTGATAACAGAACCAGGATAGTATAGTAAGAAGAATAGTATTAATCACTCAAAGATTTTAACAGTGCCAGATATAACGCAAAATAATGTGCCAACTTTTACAATGATATAACAATATAAAATAAAGAACAATTTAGATAAAGTTTCATACAAAGTATCTTTCTACCCTTGTAATATTAGCTGAGTATTATAAAACAGAAAAATTTTAAATTTTTTAAAAAATAAATAACTTATGACAGTTCGATTGTTCGGGAAACAAATTTTTTTTTTCCTTCAAATTAAAAAAAAAAAAATCTTAGACCTAAAGTAAGAATGCTTGTTTTGAATGAATTAAAAAAAATATATTCCATATTAAAATTGCTTATATTTTTGATGGCTATTGCTATTTTGATTGCGACTGCTATTTGAAACTACTTCGAATCATTGAAAAATTGAATAATGTAGACGTCCTACTAATAGAAATTTGATGGCAACAGTAAGTCAAACTTCTGGTAGTCCTGTGATACAAAACGTGAATTAAATGTAGATATTTGAATTTTGTATATACATGGAAATTCAATATTACTCCCTTTTCCCTTCAGAAAAAAAAAAAAATCCTGCTCACATCTCTATGTTTACTTTTATATCCCTATCTTATGTTACCCATACATCTATATCACTCTTTTAAAACTAAATAGAAGAAAAAAGAAGTTTTGAATGAGATTTAATAAGAGAAACAAGCACGTTCAACAAAACAAAATATACTAAAAGTCAAAGAAAAAAAAAGATGCTATATATATTTTATTAAAAAAATTAATAATAACCACTTACGCAAAGAATCCTTCATTCTTAGCTATCTCAAACATACAATGAAAGGTATTCTTATATTTTGAAGCTTCCAAGCCCTGAAATGGAAAATTTTTAATTATAAAAAGAAAGGAAGAAAAACAACACAGTTATAAATTTAAAATATATATTAAGTCTTCTTTAAAAATATCAGTAAGGAAATAGGCAACTTCTTAAAATTTTATTTTTAAAATAATCTGAGTTTATAAGTTTCTTGTTCTTATTCTACCAAATATATTTTCTACCAAATTAAAAATAAAGTTTTTGGTCAGGAACATTTCAGGTGCAGTTTTGGTTAAAGTTTTGTTATTTTAATGCCATTTAAATTTCATGTTATGAAAAATTTATAAATTTGAGGTTGGTTTGAACCTCAAACCACCCTTTTTATCATAAATGTCAAGAATAGCAGGTAAAAACCTAACGATTTTAAAAAGGTATTTAAAAAAATTAAGATTATTTTTTTTTAGAATTGACTTTTACAATTTTTAATTTAAATTTCATAGTTTCTGGATAATTAATTTTTATGAAACTTTTGTTAGTCTTTACTCTGTTTTTTTGTTAACTCTGTTTAACTAAACTTTTGTAACTCTGTTTTTCTCATTTATTAATTTAAGTCTGAGCCTTTTAGTGTCTTTGTTGAATCTCTTTACTAATACTATTATATTATTTTAGCTTTTTTTTCACTTAATTTTAATAAATAGTATCTTCAATCATTATGGGGTAAAGAACCTAATTAGTAATATAGATAGCAATTAATATTTTCTGATGTGTACCATAACATGAATTATACAATTGCACAGTTCGATTTTTTCTCAAGTTTGACAACCATATAAAAATTTTCAATTGCTAAAGAATCACTAAAAGGTGGTCATGATAGACCACTAAATTTTCCTCACTGGTGTGAACCTGAGTTATTGAATACTAGTATGCTCACTGAAAAAAATTAGATTTATAAAATTTAATTAATCTTTTAATTAATATGAAAGAACTTCAAAACTTAAATAAAAATTCAAGGATCTCAAGTGACAAAATTAGAAATTATAAGAACAAAAAGTTAATCAGGAGAATTTTTTCAAGTCAACAAAAAAAAATCATACTATTTTAAACATGTGGAAAAATAAACCGAAAAAGTTTAGTATTAGCACTGATATCAACATTTAACATTTTAAATCTCAGGTTTAAGTACAAAATATTATGATTAAAAATTCAATATTTAACATATTGATCGAAAGAAATTAAGATATCTTATTTGAAAAAATTTCAGTATTTTTATCATAAATTATGATAAAAAAAATATTCCGCTGTATTTATAAAATGTATAATGCAATTTTTTTTTTAATAATTTTTTTCAAATGACACTGAATTCCATAAATATATATTTGATGATTTTCAGTCCTTTTCCCTCTTGCCAGAAATTTATAAATTGACAACTATCGTCTTTCCTTAATCCCTTGAAGCCCAAGCATAGGCCATAAATTGCACAATCACATGAAAGTGATTGTGCAATTCTCCCTTCCCAGCCCACACTATAGGAAGCAATTCTTTCTGACTCTAGCAGCCCCAAGATCATCACATGGATATGATCTTATAGGGTACTCTTGCATTAATACTTACATGTATTCTTTAGCAAATATTAACTTGGAATTAGCAGCCCTGGAGAAGTGCTTAAATTACCAAAAAAATTATTTTTATGCAATTTAATTATTTTTGCAATTCATTGCAATTTTCCAATAAAGGAAAGATTGTGTCTAAATATTGTTCAAGATTAAAAGATGCAAGTCAAAAAAAAAGAACTGACCTGCATTCTTGTTTTGACCACATCAATAGGAGTATTTCCAAAGACAGAAGCTGCTCCAGCAACAGCTCCAAATAAACCAACAATCAACTTATTGACGGGCTTTGTAGGATCTCCACCCCTATACCAATCTTTTAAGGATTCCATCACAAAAAACCTCATTGCTTGATTACTGCCCTGTTTCATGATAGTGGCTGTCAGTCCCTGATAAACGCCACCGATTCCTAAACATATGTAGATTTTGATTGTATCAAGTAAACAATTTGAAAAGTTTTTTTAAAAATAAATTTTGAGACAAAAAAATATACACATAAGAGATTTTCGCATAAATGAAATACAGATTTATCAGAGTAAAATAGAGATTTTATGCAAATGAATAGTCCAGCAAAAAAGGATTTTTTTCTAAAAATTAAAATAACTTTAAAAATTTATTTTTCAATTAAACAGTGATTCAAAGGAAAATACTACAGTAAAAAATATTTTCCTCAGTAAACTTTCGAATAAAATAGTGATAAAGGTTGATTGATAGAGTAAAGGATTTAGTGGCACAAGGTCCAAATAGTGATAAGGGAAAATACCATATTAACTGTCCAAAAAATGTTTTTTTTTTCCTCAGTAAATTTCAGGGTTATGTAAAATATTTATCAGAGGATACTTAATATTTTCTACAAATTTAGGATCTTCACACATTCTTTAGCAATTTTGTTTCCAAAACAATTTTGTTTGGTTCAAAGCACTAAAAAGAACAAATTTTATTAGTCAGAAACAACATTCTAACAGAGCAACAGATTTTTCTGAAAAAATTCACATTTGTAACACAGCACCTTTCATCTCCAATGAGCAGATAAATAAAAAAAATTATATTGTTCTATATGTTTTAAACTAAAAGTAATTAATAAAATACATTACGAGGAAGCTCATAATGTAAGACTTTTATTTTGAGATGTCTGAAAATAACTCACAAAACTCAAAATTTTTTTCATCCAGTTTGCTTCATATTTATCACCTTAAATAGTAATAAATAGTTCCCATTAAACCTGAAACTATATTTTAGCATTATAATGGAAAATTGAGCAAAAAACTACCTTAACCCAAAACCATAAATACAATTTTAAAACAACATACACACAATGGAAACTATAGTTTGTCTATAGTAAGAACTCCCCATGACATTTGTCTGGGCATGTAGCAGTGACTATGGTTATGAGATATAACTATTTCAAGTAGAGGTGTGGGGTTACTGTTCAGAGCAGATTTTGGCTCAAGTTGGCAAGAGAAAGATTATCTTTTTCTTTGGTCCATTATGTTAGCCCAAGAGTGAAGAGAAATGAGCATTCACATCTGAAACATTGTTTAAAGCGTTCAATTCCTTTTTTTTTTTTTTTTATCTTTTCACTTTTTAAAAGTTTCTATTATAGAAAAAATATTGAAATAAATTTTTTTTTTTTTCTCTGACAAACATTACTAAACTAAACTATCTTGAGCAAAACTTTAAGCGTTTCACTTTTACCAGAAAATTCAACTAATAGAAAAAGTTAACTGCTCAAAAAAAAAAAGGACACAAAAGTGCGAATTTGGAAATTAATCTTTCTGAAAATAAATGAACATGTGAAATTAAAAAGCAACATTAAAAAAAACCTTAATCAACTTTAATGTCAGAATATGTTGAATTTTTTGTTACCTTTTTTATTGTACCTAAAAAATAGCAATTGGGTAAAAGGTATCATTTTAAGTAAAGAAAGAAATATCCATGAGAACCCATCTGGTCCACCCCTCCGGTAAACTTCCTCTATAGTCTATCATCGAAGCTCCCCTCCCTTAAATGTTTACATGCCGTTTTTGTTTCCATAGCAGTAGACGGCCTCAAACTTTGTGGCGAGGGGAGTTCTTACTATAGACAAACTAAACATTAGTTTAAAACATGCAATGAAAGTCATAAATGAATTGGGTCAAAATTCAAAGAGTTCTCATGACTAATTATAAAGAATACCAATTTAAAAGAACTCTTAAAAATCTTAAAAAGTTATGTTATTTATTATATTCTTATTAAATAACTTATAACCTATATTATTCAATACGAAAGAATCGAATATCTTATGTTATTCAATTCTTAAGTTATTCATTTAATAACTTCCTACTCATATTCTTACTCATTTGAATAACTTTCTATCTTCTAGATTAAAAAACTTATTTAGCTTCAAAAATATGCTAAAGGGAACAAAATTTGACATGTTTCATGTTGTCAAAAGAAAATGGAAAATAAAGGCGAGAAAAACTACAGAGGGACTAATCAGGGGAAAAATGCATTTCCATGAGCTATGAAGAGGTGGAACTGATATTGTTAATAAGGGAAACAAGATTCATATGAATGAAACAAGATTTCTAGACATCAAGAGGAGCTGAAGTGATTGGGGTGAAATAATTTTGGCTTTGGTGCAATTGAATTAATGTCCAAGATTCCAACAATGTCTGCACATTGTTGGAATCTTGGACAATATTTGAATATTTATAGTATTCTTCATAAAAACAAACGTGTTCCTTAAGTCTAAATTTTAAAGCATGTCCGGTTTGTCTGATGAAGTCAAAGTCGCTGTCAAGCAATTTGAACAATTTAAAAACTTTTTCTTAGAAATAACACATGAGTGTGTCACAAAGAATGGGAGAAGAGAGGTGGCAAATAGTCAAACCTTAAATTTACCTTTATAATTCCGGCTTAAAAAGCAGTTTGCTGAATGTAGGATTTGACAAAGAAGATAATATCGTCAATTTCAATGAAACAGTAATAAAATTCATGCAACTGAAGTTTTAAACAATCGATAGCTCTAGAATTGGGGACATTAGTAAAGAGAAAAACAACACAGACAGAGCATAGTTTTGGAGGAGGAACGATGTGCAAATTGGGAAACAAAATCAAGGGAATTTGTAAGGACATTATTAATCGTTATCAGGGAGATGATACAAGCTAAATAGAGAGCAAGCTTATAGCTCAGGGTATCAATATTAAGAGACAATATGTCTGAAATCAAGTTGAGGTTCGTGAACTTAAGAGAGGGGCATAGAAAGCAGCTCAATTTGAAATAGAAGAAACAACATTACGTTGCAGTCAGAAAGAGTACAAGAACTTTTAATTTTAATCTTAATATCCTTCTGCTATTGACTAAAAGATTTTTTTTTTCAGTTATTTATATTACATGCATAAGAAATTCAAGATTTATTTTCCAATGTTTTAAAAAATTTGTGGTATCGAAGTTTGTGATATCCATATTTCAATGTAATATGGTAAAAAAAAAGTACAATTAAAAATACCTTGCATCCTAATGATTTCACGAACGCCATGAAAAAATCCTTTAAATTTAGGATTGGCTGACTGCTGATCATTAATAAATTTGACTTTAACTGTTTCCATTGGGGTCACAGCAAATATCGCTTCAGCAACTCCAGCTCCTAACCCACAAAGAAGACGATTTGCAGGTCCAAGATTACCCTTTTCATCTACACTGCGTTTCTTCAGAGCTTCAAAAGTTCCAAATCTGTAATGAACACAAGTAATAATCTGTAGCATTTATATGCTTAGCACTAACTACATGCCGAAAGATAAAAATATATGTAGGCTATATTTTAAAAAATAAATGCCAATATACATTAACCCCAATCAATTTTTTTTGTTGTTGTCAGTTGAGATGATTGAATCATTTTTTTAAAAAAGTACTTTATCCTATGATGCTCCAATGGCTTTCATATAAAGTATCAGCATCATAACTGCAAGAACTGTAAAAATAGAAGAGTACATAGCATGGTGTAATCCAATTATTAGGTTCCATTGCAGTTCAAAATTAAATTAAGAAAAATAAACTAGAAAACCTGTTAGGAATTTTACTATTAAGATAGAATGTATGCCAAAACAAAATTATAAATTTTTTTTATTTATTTATTTATTTATTATTTATTTTATATTGAACAATATACTTTATATTACAATAAAAATAATTGCCTATTTTATAAGAAAATTAAGGTGAAGCAAATTTCAACCAAATTATGTTGCATCCAGAATTGTTCATAATAAAAATTATACTATTAAAAAAAAGACAGAAATCAACAGACAAAGTTAATAAACTTTGAATATATTTGAATAAAATCCGTATAATCGTCATAGAAAACCTCATAAGACTTGTAAATAACAGAGATGCAAACTTTCCAAACAAACTATCTGTAATCAAAAGTGTAATAGTAAATACAAGGTTTACAAAATTCAAGTTGGTGCAATTTCAATGTGTTTTTACAACTGTGCATATAGTATGCATGGATTTACTATTAAATAAAAAAAAGTAACACTTATGTATACTACTTTTTACATGTTGTTATTTTATTTTCATGTTACTTATGTTATTTTTTGTTTTATAGGATATTCATTGCAAAAAATAAATTCATAACTCTTGGTAGTTAAGAAAAAAACTCTCAATAACCTTAATTTTTATTAGTCATCCATTAGGCCATACTCGTGACTACAGATGAAGTTAGTAATTCTTAAATAATCATTTTTAAATTTTCTCATTCAATTTTTGAAATTTTATCCTTAAAAATAACCATTATTTGCTTCAATACACAATAAAGTATAATATTTAGAATAGGCTAGTAAAGAATTTGTGCAGAAAAACTATGAAAGATAGTTTTAGCTAAATAAATAAAAAAGAATCTTAATTTCACAATACTAATATCAACCATCACAGTTACATACTAATATAATTATTTGTAACTTTGGTAGCAAATGTTTTCTGAGTAATAATTAATTTTTACGGCCAGAAAAAATTTTTAATTTCTATTTCTTTTTCTTTTGAATACTTACTTTGTATTTATATAAGTATATTTATTTGTATTTACTTACGTTAAAAACTTTTTATTTATTAATTTTCTATTACTATTTATTAACTTGTTATCTATAACTATTATGAAACATTTTATTTTCTAATTTTCTATTAACTATCTCCAAACAAGATAATAGAAAAGAGCAAGAAATCATTTATGCACTAGAAAACTATGAAATTTTTTTATCTTCTTACCCAATTTTACGATATTATCTACAATCAATATAACAAAAAGTATAGTTCAAAATCTTTTACACACATTTAAGTCAGTCATACTAGTACTTTCAATAGAATCTAAATTCATTTTTTACATAAAATGACAAAAAATTAAAAATGTTGGCCCCAAATAACATTTTTAAATTTTTGCACTTGTGATCCAAAAATAGTTGATATCCATAATATAAATAATATCAAAATAATCATGATTCGTTTCATGAAAAAAAATACATATTTTTATAACAGCTCAAAATCAAAAACAATGGTTAAGAGGCACTTATACACAACATACTTTTTAGAAAATATATATTACACTATATTAAAAAAAAATTTTTAAAAAAACCATACCTAATTGCAAGGCAAAGAATTTATAAATAACAAAACATATGAGCAGAATTGCTGTGATTTCAAACTAAATTTTTTTTTCTCACAAATGTGAAGTGAGCAACAAGCAAAATTCAAAATTAAATATCTTCAAAATATATTGTTGCATCTTCTTTAAAAGACATTTATTTTTTGAAAACAAAAGTAAAAAACAATCATGAACATTATATAAATCATTAAAATACTTACAATAAAATTGATACAAATAATTATTTATTCGAAATATGAAAGAAAAAAAAACTATAATTTTTTTTTATGAATAAGGAGCTATTTTTAAAATCTATTCAACAATTTCAATTTTAGGTAAGACTTCATACTATGCAACTTTTGGAATATAAACTAAAGCAACTTGAGATCACGTTAAGAAAAAACTCCTTAATCAATTTAAATTCGTTTGGTGATATTTTCTTTTACTGCAGTTTTTGCTTTTAAAAAAAAAAAAAATTGTGATTACAGGGACGAAAAAAAGCAGAATCAGCATGATAATAAGGGTAACCACAATTTTACCAAACAAAAAAACTAACTTATTGCCGAGGTTTGGATATTACAAAATGTGAAGTTTAAAAATAGCTTAAAGACTTTTCGATTTCAACAAAGTATAGAAATTATATCAATTATTAGTTACGAAATATTTGGAACTCTAATTTAATGTCACAATCATAGACAGGTAATAAAAATCACAAAAAGGAAATAGAAAAGTGCCACAGTAAAATTAGTGATAAATTCAATTGTAAGACACTCGAAGGAATGAAGCAAGTAGGTTTATGTAATGAATATATGAATCTGTGAGTATCAAAATGAGGATTAATTTCTAATTTTGTTTATATGGTTGCAAATTTATATTTTTTAACACAATTTAAACAAATATATTTTACAATTTCCAAAACTGTGCATTACATTTTAATAATTAAAGATTAGTCGGTAATTCTAATTAAAAAGGATTAAAATATTGTATATATATATATAGTTTGCCCAGTTTAAACTTTTATTACAAAAAACAAAAAAAAACATTTTTCGATTATTTTTTTTTTTAATAGTGAAATTAATAACCATACACATTAACATTATAGGTCCGATACAAAACTTTTCTAAATTTACTAATTCATAAAAAAGCCTAAAACTGAAAAAAATTTAAAAAATCAAAACTTATAAAAGAAATTCATTCATAACATAATATCAAAAACAAACATACCTACAAATCAAATTAAATTTTGAAAACAAATAAGAAGCTTTAAAAATTAGTAGAAAATTTAACAAACTACTAGGCACTCTTAAAAAAAATTCTAAAATCTACAATAAGCAGGTATGTCTAATTTTTGACATGCATGAACTGTTAAGCTAAGCTAAAAAAAGCAGCAAATTTATGATTAAAATGAAACTACAATCAAACTTATTTTATACAAAATAGCCATCAGGCATTGTTGAGTTTAAAAACAACTTATCTGTGAGCATAATGGAAAAGGACTGGAAAGTAAATAGGATTTGAAAGAATAAAAATAATATTCCTCTTACCTGAAAAAAGAAAGCAAAGATTCTTTCAAAACTTGCAGATTTTTAACTTGGAAGTTTTAATTCTTAGCCAATTTGTTAGGTGAGCCAAATGCTATGATATCAAGTGAAAAAGAAATAATTGTAAATATAGGAGCTACTTGAAGAGAAACTAAGTAGAAAAAAAAAGACTATAAGTATAAATTAATATTTGAATGTTTAGTAATTTAAGTGCAAAAATAACTCTTTATTAGTTCATTAGAAAGGAAGTTTGAAATTAACAATTGTTAATTAAGCCAAATGCTATGATATCCAGTGAAAAGGAAATTATTTTAAACATAGAAGAAATAAGTTAACTATATTACAAGTTATTATATGAAAGTTTAATTATTTCAGTGCAAAAAAAAACTACCAATTCATTATAAAAGGCATCGGTTTACTGTTAGATAAGCCAAATGTTAGGATATAAAGTGAAAAAGCCATGGTAAATATAAAAACTACTTTAAGAGAAACTAAGTGAAAAACTAAATATAAAAACTAATATTTAAATTCAAATTAAAGTGCATAATTTTTTTCAGTTTTTTTAGGAAAGTTTGAAAACAAGGATGAGAAAGTGGATAAAGCAAGTTAAAAAAAAGCATGCTGAAAATAATTGTGGTATTTCATGTTAGTGCTGAATTACTTGACATTCCAGATTACATTCTTTTATGTTCCATATCAACTATTTTCTTTTTGGTGTTTTTTTTTAAATTTAATGTTATTTTATTACTAAATATTACCATAACCTAAGTACATCTTTTATTGTTCAACTCTGTAACAATGTAAGTTTAAATTTAATTTAGAATATAAGAGTAATGTGAAAAGTACACATTAAAGGAAAAGACAAAGACGACTCCAAAGACTTATGTTGGAACTAAACCCCATCTTCATAAGATGGAGAGGAAACTGCTTCAATCAGCCAAAAGGCAAATGTGAACTTATCCAACCACAGTTAAGGAAATGTTCAAAATGATGATCAAAACACTTTTGGCAAATGTTAGCACATGATTAATACAATCCAAATAGTCCTGGCAGCGTGATCAAGGCAATCCTGGAAATGACAGCACTACTATCAAGGCAACTCTGCTAATTGTCAACATTTTAATCTAAGCAATCCTGAGAAAAATCCTTCAAAAAATAAAAAAATGAATACTAGATTCTAAATCCAAACACATTGTTAGTTGCTAATACTAGAGTTAAAAAAATCATGCTCCATTTAGTAATTACACGACACTGAATTCATTTTACATTATTTTAGATGGTATCTTGAAGAAAAGATCATGCATATATTTTCATCACAGCAAATCTGTCAAGCTTTGGCATTCAAATGTAAAAGCGAACATCTTAAATAATCAGAAGAAAATTACGAACCTAACAGCAGACTTTGGTACAGAACCATAAATCAAAACACTTAATCCTCTGTAAAGACCTTTGACACCATGGTCTTTCACTGTAATTCTAACAACATCACCAATACCCCTATAACGTGGCTTGGCTGAACGTTCATCTAGTTGAAGTTGTGTCTTAACATATTCTGTAGGAAATGTGATACAGATTTCTATGCCACCAGTTATACCACCTGTAATTCACAATAATAAAAAAATACGATGAATACAAACACATTTATTAAAAACCTGTAATTCATTATAAAAGCACTAATCAAGACAGTTCAATTTATGAAAACCTTTTATACATAAGTAAAAAAAAGTCACAATAGTTTTTTTTTAACTTATTAAATATACCTCGTGATTTAGAAAAGTAAACACAGATAGGGAAAAGAAGGCATAAAAATCGAGCTTTTTTAAAGATGACTCTAAATTGAAACCATTAAATTTATTTTATCCAAAATTTTGATGCATTTTAAATACATTGGATTCCTATAGATAAAACACGAAAGATAACTTGCCAATTTGGTTTTATTGTTTTCTTACGGTAATGCATTTAAAAAAAACATGTCTTGATGTACCCACTTTACAGAGTGGGTATAATTCCAAAATTAGTATATATTTCATTAAAAACCAGATAAATATTGTTTTAGAAATAAAAATGTTCGTAAATAATTGTATCACGGTTACACATAACACACACATTATATTATTAAATTGAAGAGTTCATGGCTATCAAAATTAGGTTTTACTTTGGATGCAGTATATTTTGATGAAATCTACACAATTTCTTAAAAAAGATAGAAAAACGTTTATTTTGAAATAATAATGAGAGTGTAAAAATTAATATCCGTAGTAGTTATTTAAATTGTTTTTATTATTTATAGCAGACATGTATCAATTCATTCAATTCAATTATTTTGAGGAAATTGTTTGTTTTCCATGAATGAAAGCAGAAATTTGTGTGAAAACTCCTAATGTCTTTAAATATGCTCACTAACAAGGGAAACTAGGGAAGTGTGACTCGCCAATTTTGAAATAAACTAGTGGGATGTATGCCTTATGAGGAATAATTTTAGGGGGCAACATTCGTTTCGGCCCATAGAAGGTCCGTGAGAGCTAAAAAATAATACAATATATAGAAAAATCGGTATTTTATTACTTCAATGCAGACTTTTAGTAATTGTAATTGTCTCATAATCCAATTATTTTTTGTGATTAATTGGATAATTAATTAATTTGCTAGTTAATAAATTAATCAGAAAATAAGTTAATTATTAATTAATTATTATTATTAATTAATTATCTGTTAATTAATTGTTAATTAATTAATTGATTTGCAATTACATACTCCAATTAATTTTGAAAGTTTTTTGAAGAAAAAAATTAAAAAAATTTGATGTCAATTTTTTTTTTAAAATTAACATAACAGGTTTTTCTGAAAAACTACAGATATATAAAATTTTCGAAATCAATTTTGACAATAAATATGCATTATATAGTACGTGAAAGTACCACAAAATTAATTGGAGTATTGAGATAATTATAATAACTAATAGTCTGCATTGAAGTAATAAAATACCGATTTTTCTATATATTGTGTTATTTTTTATCTCTCACGGGACCTTCTATGGGCCGAAACGAATGTTGCCCCCTAAAATTATTCCTCATAAGGCATACATCCCACTAGTTTATTTCAAAATTGGCGAGTCACACTTCCCTAGTGTCCCTTGTAAGTTGAATCATTATGCTATTTCGATAATTTTTTTTAAATTGTCTGTTATATTGTTATTTCCCCCTTATCATTTTTCTCTTTATAAAACGAAATTTAAAATTAATTTTATTTTCAGTGTTAAAATTACTATATAGGACTGTAAATTATTTTAATCGGTATTTTATCATAAAATATAGAGCATTACAAAGAAGATCCAAGGATTCGAACCCAGAACCTTTCGGATGCAAGGCCAGTCACCTGGCTCCGACACAGCCCGGTCGGCGTATCCCAGATAATAGACTCTTAATATTATATTATATTATAAGAAATACAGCTGCATGAGCAAATAAAAAAGCGTACTATCGAGTACGCTATGGCTAAAATGTGTTTTACTCAAATCTAAAAATAAAAAAAAACTAATTTAAATGACGTGAATATAAACTTTGATATTTCACGTCAAGAATCTCAAAAAATGAAAACATATTTATATAAAAGTTTTCAAAAGTGAAAATCATTTTAAGGAATTGCTTATTTTTTGCTGTTAATGACAACGTTAAGGATTTAATTGTGAATCAATTTCGTTTCAATTAAAAAAAAAAAAAACATTTAAGAAAAAGAAAATTTTGAATTTAATAAATAAAAAGGACGACCGAATATATTAATAATGAAATCAGCTTAAAGCGTTAAGGTAATTGCATTTTTCAAAAATTCATATTTTCTTTTCGAAGATAAAGTGAACGATGCTCCGTTCGATTAGATCGGTGTAGTCATAGATCGATATCAGATCAATAGAATCTTTTTAGATAAGTTAGCGTGATCAAGTTTAGGAGTGGTTAGTCTTTGTGATAGCAATCAGAAGGAGAAGAAAAAAAAGACAATTCTAAAAGCAAAGATAAATCATATTTAAAGATTTTATTCCAAAAATACCATCTGACTTAACGTAGCATAAAGACAAAAATAATATTTTGTCCCATCCAATCTTCCAACTTAATCCCCCCCTCCCAGGACAGCTAAATATAGTCCTTTCAAATATCTTAAAAAGATCTTTCCAAAGAATGCGAGGCATTTAAAACAGCTACCATCGCAATCAATCATAAATTTAAAAAAAAAAACTATGAATTTAATGATGTTTTTATAATTAAACAAAATCCCTTCTGAGGTTTGATCAATTAATCAAGCTTAAATTAACCACTTAAATATGCAATAATGTATAACCTAGGTTTACTCAATTTTTTTTCCCCTCTGTGATCAGATTTGAACCAACATTAAAGTATAGATAACTTCAAATTTCCCAATTTGTTAAATGTTATTTATTGTAATTATATTTTATTTCCTAAAAAAAAAGTTCCATTTTTTTTCTCCCCCTTTGAAGAACACGCATATTTGCACCTTAGCCTAAAGTGATCACATTTTTAATAAGACAAAGCGGGACAAATGGGATGAAATGAGAATTACAATTTATTCAAACTTTCAACACGCACAATATATATATAAAAATACGAATCAAATGTTCGTTAAGTTTCGTAAAAACGTTATTGATGCATCTTCTAGCTTTTCCACCAAAATTTACGTTAGTGTTATCAGCACAATGGGCAATAATTTTATTGCTTAAATTATTCTTTTTTAAAATAGTACTTATTAAATCAAAAATTATTTGAGAAGTTTCATCAGGCAATGAAACAAAATCTAATATTCTAATTTTAATTCATGTTTCTGGATCAAAACTAACACCTGTGGGAAATAATTTTAAATCGGAAGCATCATAATATATGGACATAAATGCGCATTTTTCTAATTCTTTCTGCAATTGTGAAAACGAATATGGTGAAAAAACATTACAAATAATTGTTTCCGTTTTTGTCCTTACACATGCATATTTTTTGTCGTATAATGTTTTGATCACTTGCGACGTATAATCCATTGATCTGAAACTTTGTGGTTTATGGTGAGGAAAGCAAATAGCCCTTCCGCTAATGCTAGCTGTTTTTCCGTGTTGCTAAAGCTAGCACTGCGAAAAAACTGTTCCGTTTTAGATGAGGAAGCGGCATTATTAAAAAATCGTTTGTGCCTCTTTGTTTAGTAATATCGTTTTTTCCACCATGTGAGACCAAAAATTCAGCATTGCGTTTATCACACCGTACCATATAGTCTATTTTGGTACTTTTAATAAATGGAAATTCTCTGCTTAGCTCGTCATTAAATTTGCATCCTCTTTTTTTACTCATCTTTTATTTTGTGGGTAAATACTAGAAATAAAAAAATTATTACAAATGCTAAAAAAGAGTATTAAATTTTACCTTATTGACCGTTACTTTGTGGCGACTATTGCTCAACCTTTGTCAATCAAATAATAAGTCAAACCGAACGTCAAATTGAAAACAACAAACCGCACTGTCTAACGGCAGTCCGCACTTATCTGAATTAAGCCGAGACGTAAAGACAATGATCGCACACCACCGAGTAAATCTTACTTGGTACATTGCCTAATTTAGTTTACTCTGCACGCCATTTTATGTGTTTTTTATGTATTTTTTATTTCTTTATATTCACCTTAATAAATAATAGGAATATATTTTTACAGTACATTTAAAATAAGAAATGCAGATATTTTCTAAAAAACGGGACAATCCACCAAAAATCGGGACGTGTGATCACTTTACCTTAGCCCCCTTTGGTGGTAGACGATATTTCAAAATAAACTGTAACCTTAAGTTATCGTTAAGTTAATATCGCGAGACATAAAAATTCGAGAAACAACTGATGATTTCATCTCAAAATGCAGTGTCACTTAAATGAGTAAGTTCTTTTTGCACTATTTCACAAGCACGAAAAACTAAGTGTAAGAATCGCAAATCGAAAACGAATGTGTATTTGGAACTATTAACAAAACTTCCGCATCTACACATGTTCCAGCAACGATGATCTGCTGGAGAAAAAAAAATAGAATGCTTATATTAAGTAAAATAAATAAATAAATAAAAAAGGCTGATTAATGCTAATTACTGTTGTCAGCCATCAAATAACCTCGACATCGGAACAAGATATGTTCGATTTCTGAACCAAATAAAAAGTGGAGTTCCAAAACCATTCGACAATACTGGTTTTTGAACTAAAACTTAATCGATTCAAGTATCAAAATAATTTGCAAATAACCTTAGTCAATGGAAAAAAGATTAAATTGATTGATTAACGAAAAAGAATTACGCTTAAAATAAATTTAAAAAAGGTATATATTTAAAAAAAAATTACAAAAAATATTTTGTTCAAAGTACGTAAAAAAAATTTATGTATTTGTATCGCAAAAATTTAAAATTAATGAAAAGTAATGCGAAATTAAAAATTTCTCATTTAGAAAACAATGTATACAATTTTCATTTAAAAATTCATTGACTGAAAACGGGTTTTAGGAGACCTCAAGTAAAAAAGTAACCTTCGGGAGCAGGGTGCGTAGCCAAATTATTCAACAAAAAATAAGCACCT